CACAATGACGTGAGTGATTATTGCCATTTTAATGGTGCCATGATTGAATTACACTCGTGTAATTTGCGACACACATTTAATGGTGAAGAAAATAATGGCATATTCATGATTTCACGTTGTTTGGTGCAAAATCAAATGCGCAAGAGTTCGCTGCCGACCCCAGCAAAATCTTTGGCTATCGCATTGCTTCAGCAAAAACTTTATGTATTCCGTCACACCGTTCTGGACTCTCGGCGTTAAATTAGACTTTACCTCTTGAATCACAATTGGGAGAAACTGTGAGCGCAAAAACTGTTGAGATATCATGTTTGGTTCTGCTCTCGCCAACTGTGCAAGCAAACTAATCAATGTCTGTTCCACAATACTTGGCTAGACATTTTTGCATGTTTCACGACTGTTAGCCAGAGGGGAGGGGGTTGCAATAGAAATGTCAACACCCCGCAAAGTATGTTTTGCCTATTTCGAAAAATGTGGAGAGACATTTCCTTCGAACAAAAACTACCGGAGTTAGACCGTGAAATAGTTTAATGTGTGCTATTAAATGTCTTCACAATTGCCAATATAAATGCTGCTCTTATTAACCCAAATGAAGGAAAAAGATAAGCAAACAAGTGTTTAAGAATAATATATTCCTTTAAATACTGTCAATTTACGGTTGGTCGAAATGACTATCTGTGCTCTTGAAATTATTTGGAGGGCTGTAGAAACCCAGACGTGTCGACACTTTTGGATTATCTGTAGCCTTGAGCGTCTTACCTATTCAGATTTGTATAACGAAACCTAAGGAGCATGTGGTACTTGGTTGTGGAAGATCTTAAACTGATACAACCCAAGTACGTCAGATAGGAGAATGTTTTCTCCGAAAATGTTTTGGAGCACTCAGATTGTAGTTGGGCACCTTGGTTCAACAGTTTAAATTTCTTCAATCATAGTTGCCCAGTTATTTCCTGAGTTATTTCCTGTTGTCGTTAGAGAGAGCGTTTCTGTGTGAGAATATCTTGATTTGTTCTACCGAAGAATTTGAGTACGGGTGCTGGTGGCAAAGTTCGATGAACTTATGGACGAGTTAACTTGAATTAAATAAGATTTACTTTAAAGTGAATTACTTTCGATCGTACGTGATTCCGTTTGCTCATAACATGAATAAAGTTTGTTGATTTCTATGCTTTGCGTCCTGTACTAGATGCTGGGGTGTGGAGATTTTCACTTTGTCAGGAAGTTGACAACAATTGTAATGTAAATCACAAAACTGCGAATTATTTATGAAGACGTCTTTGAAAAATTGTATGACTATAAATCACTGTGGAAAGTGGTCAGCAGTACAATAACATTGGGTAAGAACTGAGGAAAATCAGGCCGCCTGGTCTGTTTGATTGTGGACGAAATCGCATTGTATGATATATCGAAACTGGCTCACTATACATGAGTTCCATCCATGGTAAGTTTGTGTACCAGCTTATTCTGTGGGCTGGCCGGGAAATACGTGGATGCTAAAGAAACTCTATCATTTACATACCTTGTCGGACTTTTGTGCGTTTAACTATTTGTGTGGCCCATTGCTCATCATCTACTTCATGATTTTTATGTTTGGATTATTCCACCGATAACCAGCGAAGGAGTACCGGTTCGCGAACCACATATAGGATAGGAATAAAACCCATTTTATCAGCAAATTATGCTCCCAATTGAGGCTCTCTGCTGCTGAGTTACGAAACAAATGCACCAGAGGTTAGTGGATGTGAACTCACGTGTACAGTTGATCACTTCCTGCGTCCCAAGGATGCATTCCAATTGGCTAAGACAAACACGACACTGACAATAACCCAGTGGTCTGGAAAAAGTGCGTATTGGAGATTCAGTGTCGCTGTTCGCATTTGATGGATCGCCTTGCACATCCAACCAACGACACCGATACCATGGTGACCACGCCGTATCCTTCTGATGTTTTGTGGGCCTTTCCAATGGACACTGGGTTTTCTCCACGCGTCTTCTATCAACGGATGGTGAGAATGTGTTGAACCAACTCGCCGTGTGTGTATTACGCTCATCGTATCCATTCATACATTGTCCATCCCGCCAACTCCAGCCACAGTGGGGGTCTTTGGACTCAAGACATTCTTCGAACCCGGTTGAACGTGAACAGTCGGTGAGGGGCAACCAGAGGATTTGTCGATCAGTAATGACAAACAGTCTAGGGAACTGATTGACAAAATGAGAATACAATCCTTTTATTATTAGCTCCAACAGGAAATTGCAAACAGAACAAGATGCATTTTTTACCTCCAGTGTGAGCGACCTCAATCTCATGAGCAGAACCGAATTGACTTCTGATGTGTTCTAACTTGAGTTTTTATACCTGTCCGTGGTGGCCTTAAATTGAGATAAAAAATTTGGAAGTATATAAAAACGTTTCCTCAGGACGAGTATTATCATAGTTGTATGGTGGAATAACTGGTTAATTAAAGCTTCGGTTTTCGCCTGGCCATTGAATTGAAGATGTGCTGTTTAGTTGGTTACCACTGGGCCTTAATTTCATCAAAAGTTAGCTTGAGTTTGTGGTTAAGAATTACTTCGAGCTCAAGTCTGAATGAACCATTTTGTCTTTTTTGGCCATTCCTTTAATTCACTTTAGCTGTTTACTTCCAGCCGACGTTGACCCACAACAATTTTATGAACCTATCTGGTGTGTTCGGACCTAAACAGATATCCATATGCCCATGGGTTGGTCAGCATAGGGAGCTTGCTTTCTGAATGTCTTGCATAAAACTTCTGGTCTGTTTGGATAACTGGATGACTGGAATGTCTTGTGAAGGAAAGGATTACCAACGCCGTCAATTACACCTAACTGTTAGAGATGAAGTCATTGCTGATGGGTTCTCTGGTAAGCAAATTTAAAACATTAAGTTATTATTCGCCTGTAACGGGGTCAGAAATTACTCAATGATATACTTACAAGGCTTCATGGCACTTTTTACCTTTCGCCTCCTAACTCCGTAACTTGGTGTTGACCAATGCTATCACTTCCATGATTGACGTTTTCGGGTCGAATGAAGTGGTCCCTTGATTTTGAGTTTCCACGGGAAATCCGAACTAGTGCGTTAAAGCGTTAACCTAACCTATATGAATGACACCGTTCCAATTACAACGTACAGTAAATTCAAGTTTTCAGGATAAAATATATATAACTGGGATTAGATCGATCGGCAATAGCACTCTTCTTATCACAAAGATTCCGGAACGTTGGGCGAACCGCAAAAAATGGTAATGTGCCAGACGAATTCATCTGGCTTGGACTGATTCCAGCCAACATGTAGGAACATCTATAGGAAGAGACGTGTATCCTGTGTTTGGTCATCAAAATCTAACCGCAATTCATTCATCTCATAAGCACATGCGCATACAAAGCCAATTTAGGTCGGTGCAAAAATAAATTAGATTGTCCTGATGCAAGTCACTCCTGGAAACATCAAAACCGAGAAATTCAGCTGGGTTCCCGGTGAGTCTCTCGCAAAACCAAATTAGTTTGCAAAGGAGTGTAGTTAGCAGATTTCGTGCAATTTGGTTCCAAGGAAAACATAAGGTTGCGCCTAAGTGATGAGCCCCAAGAAGGGTGAAATCGATCGTGGGCTGTCTAGGACTTTCAGCAACCTTATGAGTAGCGCATTACGAGTCATTCCTTTTTTGAAGCCACCACTAATGCACATGTTTGGCAATTCCAGCCGAAAACCCACCGATTGGTAATTCAGTTTCGCACCTTTCGAAGCAACGTGATTAAAGCGCTTGATAGAAACCATTTTTCACACTAATCCATTGTACGAAGACCGATACAGGAGAAGACGGTTAAATCTTCTTTATCCCATTTGTGGTCAACAGGCCGACATATCGTGAGCATCCAAACCTTTTTACTCTAGAATCTAAAATGATGCGAAATCTTGAATTCCGATCTGTTGACATGGGTTTCTCATGTTCCCTGAATACGGTTTCTGCGTGGATGTATGACACTAGACTCTTTGAAGGCAGTATACCACTCGCTCAACGAATGTATCTTTTTTCAAAGGAATTTATTCGTATAATGCGGTACTAACAGAGATATTAATACTTGACCAAATCACTCACAAAAGTGTGAGAAACAAAGCTTCCTAAGAGCACACTTGTGCCAATAATATTCTGTTGGCTTTTAGATGGCCGAAAATGAGATACTTTATCAACTGGATTTCGTAAACTGCGATTAAGAATCCAGAAAGAAGCAAGTTTTCCAGACTGATGTTTGCTAGATGACTCCTTGTTGAGTGCAAATCTCATGGACTGGATCCGATAGACCCCGCATTATGACGCTTCCATGAAGACTTTGTTCAAACGAGGATTGATTCTGTGCCAGCAAATCGAGATGTATTTCGCGGCTGTTCCTACTTTATAGAGCATCATTAATAGTGCGTACCCGGAAACCTGTTGCTTTTCTGTTAGCATTTCGTTATTACGTTGTTTGATCAAGAGAGGTCAGCACACTACATAATTTGCATTTAGGCCTGGCACCGACTATGCGCAGGACATGTGAACTGCTTGGCTGAGAGAGTGATAGCAGTTTGTTCAATGTGCAAGTGAACCACACTGATGATCGGTCCGCGTGGCCGAACGGCGTAGTGCGAAACTACTACTGTGAATGTCTTGGATTAAAATCATTCAACTAGTGAGATGCGCAATACTCGGTATTCCTAGAGGCGACGAAGCAGCCACAACTACTCTGACTTGCACAAGATTCTTATTTTGAAAAAGGGATTCATCTTAATCTAAATGAATCTCTTGTTCAGGAAAGCTGAAATGCTCTGGGCGGCCTTAAGTGCAGTGTAGTATGTTTGATTGTAATTTAATTCTGGACTCTTCAGCATAGACAAGACTTACTTCCGGGAAGCGATGCCATCTGGAACCTCATAATTGTTGAATGATATCAACAAAATAGCTCGCCGGTGTCTTCCACGTATATTGGCAAAATGCACGCAGCGATAGACTGAACGAACAACCAGGCTATTGTATGACAAACACGTTATGAGTGAAAAAAAGTATCTTTCGTCACCACCGTTCCCTGAATATATCATAGAGTTAAATTCTTTTCAAAGGTAAACCACAAAAACAAGCTTCTTCTCTGCTGTGCAAAGAAACTTTAATCAGCGTTTATCGCATCAAAAAACGGCACTACTCACCAAAACTTTTACTTCACGAATTTCCTCTGCCGGTTCTTTTGCTGTTGGAATTTCGCTACTTTGAGAGTTTAGTCTCCAAAATTTCAAGTATAACTCCTTAGCGCTCCGTTTGAGATATTGGCGTCCCTTATGACTCCTAATACGTTCCTGATGTTGTTTCTGTTGATCGTTTGCATCGAAAGGTTGTTTTAGGATGTTGAGCGACCGACCGATGTGGACTTCATTCAGTTTGCACACAACCGGTAGTGAGTTATCTGCGTCCATGGAATTGGTTGGCTGGTAGACTACAATCTTATCCAGACTTCTCTTTGATCCCAACCAAATGATAGTTGTTCTTGCAGGGTTGCCAAAATGGAAGTATGTTGGTAGCGGCGGCAAGTCGTAAACTTGAAGATGGATCCACAGTATGCCAGTTTGAACAAACAAAGCCCTCCTGTACAGTGGATAAACGGCCTCGTACCGATTGGGATATCTGAGAGATAAGCGGCGTCCAAAATCCAGTTCTTCCATTGTCAAGTTCATGGAGTTGAAACGCTGGCACTGAAAAGTGAATTAAGACTACTGAAGATATCAACATATAACAATACACACGTCAGAATGAATTCTGTGCGTAGTTGAAATAATACCTCATAGAAACACCAAAATGGAATAGATGAGGTCCTACATTCAAGAAAATAATGTGTAGGAGTTGTTTAAATGCGCCCAAAACGATAGATTCCAGTATTATCCACTGTTTTCAAAGACGGTTTTTACAATTCCACTATGTTAATTTTTACTGAGAAACATTAATCTGCAACCAATACTCTCTGGATACAAAAAACAATATGGTATCGTAATGTCTAGGTGGGTAACACAGCCTTGTAAAATTCGTAGGGATGTTTCGTTTGGGACAGATAAAGACGGAGCTTGGTATTGAATCTTAAGGGTATCCTGATCAGTGACCGTTCAACAGCTGTGCTCTATAGACAAGTAGCTTGCTATAGAGGAGAATGCTGGCGGCTCAGGTGGCATAGATTGCCGTTTGTTTGTCTCCTCAGCTCAGGGAGCAAACCAACAACCAGTCAAGTAACTGACATTCACGGTAATCAGCTGTGTGTTGTCTCACCGTGGACACAAAAGTCAAATAGATGAAATGTTAAGTCCTGTAAGCACTTACAGTGTATCTGCTTGAAAATTTACTCATCACGTGTAGCGACGGTAGTCTTTTTGGTAATTAGTTTTTTGTGATCACACGGATACTGGGTTTTGACAGATCTGATCATATCCACTGAAAGCTGGCGTTAGTCATCCTTATCCAATCGGCACTCATGCTGAATTCAAACGAGAAAAAGCTAATTGTGTAAGGACCGCTGAGTCTCGATTGTACGTGAACGATGGTCAATCATGAGTCCAGACAACAGAATAAAAATGGGTTTTGGAAGTACCCAAGTACTAAATTTCTTGGTTTTATGTAAGAACCACAGCTAAGCAAATAAAGCGTTAAACGGGTTCAAACTTTGCTGGATGCACCTGATATTAGGGGAGGGTTAGCACCTGAGATTGATACCAACTTACAATGTTGACGAAGGAGTTTGGGACAGGTGTGGGTGGCAGAGATGTGTCCACTGCGCTTGACTCCAACAAAGGACCATCAAAAGAAGACTGAATGTTATGCTTGGTATAAACGCAAAGAGCACTACCCATGGGAGCCCATCTGAAACAAAAAAAATAATGATTTTAATTGGGAGTCATTGTCCGAGTTGTTTGTGACCGTTTAATATTTCATTCGGGTACTAATGCCAAAGAAGATCAATATCACCTCATTCAGGTGAATAATTTAGTGACCATAAGACTGCGATTTATTTCCCTGGGATACCATTTCGCACATCAGGAATACTGGTTTGTTTCATGATCGACATCAGTCCATGACGTATGAAAGTTTAGAATCACGCTCTAATACAACATCAATTTTAGTTCCAGTCATATATCCTATCAAAGAGCTACGCAATCTGTGGCAACGCTTCCTAGTGCAGATCGTGTGCGTGCGAGTGTGTGTGAAAAGAAACCGAAACACACCTAGTTATTCTAACAAAACTCCAGCTGAGGATAGGAAGTACTGTGAAAGGCAGATTCCGCGAAGTCATGGAGGTATTCTGATGAACGTCAAGCACAGTACTTGCGTAGCTTGTCTAGTGATTACATACGTCTCATTTCAAAAGAATGTGAGCTGATGTGGCATAGTTCGAACCGCATACGTAGCCAAGTATGTGACGCTTCCTATCGCTACCGTGAGCAGTTGTACCATTTGAGTTTAACAGAGACATGGATTTGTCAATGGAAGCCTTCCATAATTCATCAAAATTGAAAATTTAAACACCCAAGAAACCAGATGACAGGTTTTGCAAGCAAAACGTTGTTGTTTCTACTGACTTTCTGCAAAAAGGCTCAATTATGGATCGGCTGAAGTAACTCGACATGAGTTCTAGTAAATTTTTTCCTCATTATGTCGTGCGAACAAATTTACTGTTCGGAATGGTCCACAGGCTTATCAAGGATGGGTGATCATTTTCCACTGATGGTCAACCATTACAATTCTGATTTTCTCCGATCTCATCCAAAGTAAGCTGATTAACTCACCTGTAGATCATCGGGAGTCAGGCGTCACAATCCTGAAATTTTGTTTCTTTGTGATATAAGCAACCACTAATATTCAATAAATCAGCTGTGGGCCAAAGAGGCTCAAACCCTCAACGGACCATTGTGAATTTAAGCATGTGATACAAAATAGAATGTCCCAGGGTGTGAATGTTCCTCTGAGTGAAACGTCAATAAACTAATTGAATTTTAGAGAAGACTAAGCTGTTGCTTCTAGTCGGGCTGTCGGGCAAATAAGGGACACCCTTGATGCAATAAGAATTTACAAACCTTGGTAGGTTTTTTAAAATTGCTGTTCTTCTGAAGATAACTATCCGAATGGACGAGATAAAACTCTAATTGAGAACTGAAAACAAGTATGACCAATCACTTTGAGTGTATTTATCGACAGATTTCATATTTAGGGAGATGAGTAGGCCAAATTTAATACAAATTAGATTAGTAGACTCGTTAATTCATGTCAGATAAATCACACGATCAGAATATCTAGATATGTTTCATTTAGCAGCATCACTAAGGCTACAGAAAAATCTCAAGCATTTTTATTCTGATTTCGTTGGATACTTCATAGCAAGAACACATTTGGTTAGTTAGGCGTGGTCTCAGCACCCGATATCAACCGTATTGCATAATATAACTGCATAGTAAAGGAAGGAGATGAGTGGCTTTCTTTCCCCATTATGACTTTGAATCACAGACGTAGATGAGGCAGTGACGTGGACTTGGTAATGCACCCAAAAAATATATTCACCTCGTGATATTCGACTTACTTCTCCGTCGTGAACACTGCGTACAGTCTTTGTGTAGAATTGTCCCAGTATGCTTTAGATATGTGGGTGTAGGTGTAGTAATTTCCATCCCGGTCTGCGGCCTGGCACTGCAGGTCCGACTTCGCGAACGTACCGAAGTTCTCAGCGCTCACATGCGGCAGTCCACCGCGATCTCCCTTGCATATTCGGACCAGCCGTGCTACATCTGACACACTACCCTCGAACATTCCAGCATTCCCCTTGTTGTCACACGCCTGGATGCATCTTGATTTGGACGCCGCGGACTCTTCGCGGAGCACAAAATATACTTCGTTTTCTGTCTCGAATGTTAGCAACACGGTGGCTGGCTCTGATGATATGGGCAAGATAAAGAAAAGCTGAAGTAAACCAACAGTATTATCTTTAGCATTCATAGTTTCAAAATTAGTATACTAAAGTAGAACAAACATTACAGTGACTGAATGACCTAAATATTAATAAAAATGTAACCTGTTCGCTGACGCCCTTTTGGACGCACTTATATATAACCAGTATATCTAATATCTATACAAACTGGAGTCAAATAATGACGTTTGGAAAATATCGCTTGGTGTAACACTAAAGGAACTAGTAGTCCTAGGGTGAAACTTACTCTGTGAAGAATTATCTTTACTGCTGATGATTTTTTTATTGTGGGAAAGCATCTTTGTATCAGGCAATTTTTGTATCCAGTTTAAAAACTTAATGATGTTGCACAAACTTTGGTGAACAGCTGTTTTACTCCTCGGTTATCTTACTCATTTCTCCATATTTCGTCCTCCAACTTCTAGCCGTAAACCAATAGGATCTGGCCTGACAACAGAACTGCTCGAAGTTATCAAATGATTGACTTTACCGCATTTTAATAATTCGCTTTGCAGTTTTAGATTATTACGGGCATAAACTAAGGATAGCGAAGTTTTGATATCCTGCCTTCTTACCTACCCTCTGTGGCCTACTGGGTGGCAGTTCGTATAAACTCTTCAGCTACCGGTTTTTACCCAACGTAGCTGCGTCGATAGTACTAGGTAGTTCATCTTCAAGAATAATGCGTCTTCCGCAGCAATCATATGAAACATACGTTTTCTTTGTTCTGGGATAGTTTCTCGATTTCCTACACGAACGACAGGTAAAAACGTAACTTGTTGTTCATAATCAAGAAAGTGGAACTCAGCGTCGCGTATAGATCCAGCTGGTTGACAAACCTGTGCGCTTTTTATCGGAAGCAACGTATTTTTGAAGTGATTTCTTCAAACGGATAGAAGTTTTAGCTAACTGTGTTGATCATTTAAAAGCCTATCCAAACCGACCGTTTAGGCAATGTCACTACTGTTAGTGTTGACGCACTATACTCTGTCGTCTATAAATCCTTCTAATCAGACAGAAGTTCTGGTGCCCTCTGAGGAACCTATTGGGGGATGTGACGTGTATGGGAGATGACGTGACTGTTCACCTCTTTTGTTGGTTTTGTGGTACGACAGTGTTACTGCTGATTGAAGCGGCCTGTTCGGCCGTCAGGCCTTATCGAGAAACCCACAAAAATGTCGGGTTGTTGTCGCATTAATGTCACCAGTGGTTAGTGAAAAGGTACCTTCGATTCCGTCTGTTTGGGAAGATTATTAAATCAGTGCTTACGGAAGCTGCCCCCTGAATGCCCGTCATATCAGTGTGAAAAACTTATCGGAGTATTATATTTTGACTACTTTTGGTAACGGCGAGACCTGCAACACAAAGAATATATATGAGACGTGATTAACAACAACGGTAAACGTTATTATACGGGGCTAGACGAATTTGTGATTTAGGTAGGTTGAATGAGCTGGATACATTTTTACAGAGTGACGCTGCATGTCTACCCAAAATGCTTCGTTGTTATACATACATAAAGAAGAATACACATATCTCTATGCTTCAAAGGAAACTGGCTGGCAAGTAACACAAGACAAAATTTTGATTCGGTCCTAAGTATAGAACACGCGCAACGCAACTGGCAAACTATTTGGCAGAAAGTTTTACAAAAGCACGACCTTTACTCATGGTTTTCTAAGCCTCATACGCAACTTACCGGTTGCCTTGCAGCTCTAAAGGCACGACCGCAAGACAGATCGACACGAGTGGACTTGTACTGTTGCACTATTGCAAATGTCCCCAATAGGTTGAGTGCAAAACCACGATCACTTCATCAGTTGCCTACCCCTTACTGCATACTGACCACTAGATTCGTTTATTATCTTTTTTGATGTGTCTACGATTCTTGAGTAAAAAAATTCCACCAGCTACCAATGCCTCAATAAGCAATGTTTTCGAGTGGGCTTTGTGTCTTGAATATTTTGAAGCTTTCGAAGCTCTGATAGACGGATGCTACCTCCAGAATTTAACTGTCTCTATGGATAAATTTGATTATTCCCCCCAAACAATGTGTTTCACCTCTCGCACCGAAACAGACGGAGTGAGGTGTTGGCATAGTATTATGTGTATTTTTAATTGTGAGAAATCAATCAATATATATGCCAGTGTTGAAAATGTCAGACCTGAAGCGAAAACGTAAAGCAGAAGCTCAAATCTTGAGGTGACTGAGGAAATTCCGGGGCTACGTGGATGCAATACCAGTTTAGTATTTACAAAACAATAACTGGCCAATATATTTTACCTGAAATAAAAACACGACTTTTGTCCGTCACCAATGCTCCGGTCCAGTTCACCCGGCCATTCCAGTCAGGCATGTGGGCTCGAAATATTCGCACGTAGTCTGGAGCAAACGCTGAAATATATGTGTATCCATCAGCCGCGTTCAAAATGCTCGCCGACTGTCTTGGGTCAAGCGAGTTGAAATGTGGATTCTCCCATTGAACGAGAGCTTCGGCAAGATTGCCAACCTTTAATTGGAAAAAATTGAAGTGCCAAAGATTGATTTTTAAATGGCTATGACAGTTGTCAAGTATAGATTTTCGGTCATGCTCTGAATTATCAAGAGATCATTGACACAGGTTAGTGTCCTTTATTATGCATTCAGGCTAAATTACCTTTGGAAAGCAAGTCAAAATGCAGACTTCGGGGATAGTAGAGTATCTGAATTCAGACGGGCACCAATTCTGCTGTTTCCGTTTTGTTTGAAACACTCTATTCCAAATACCTTCATGACGCTTATGCAAACTTCAAAATTTTGCAGATGCTTATCAGCTGCTTTCAAGTATAACCAACATAAATCACAAAAACGATGGCTTTCCTGGAATTATCACCTAAAGTTTAAATGACACAAGGACATGTTTTCCGCAAATCCGTGAGCCAAGTTAAAGAATACGTACTCCGTAATCGTGATCATGGTTACTGGCCTTAAACAGAGCATCAGCTGTGCCAGACAGCAAAATTAATCAGGATGCGCACATGTGCCTAGCTTCACATAAAGCGGTCAGCTCGGTGCAGAAGAGATGCGGGTGGAAACCAAATAGTTAAAAACAGAAGCGCACTGACGGGTGTTACTTGTGTAGCTTTTATGAATCACACACAAATTGTCCAAATTTTGGCTCGAAAATGATTGTGCTTCGTAACCATTATGAGCTTCTCCGAAAATTCTGCAAGCTGCTGTCATTCGGTACGAACATTTGGCTTCTTTCATGTACTGTTCGAGTCACTGACATCTTTGAAACACAGTTCAGCAACGTACCAACCACAATATGTCTCCACTGGGTTTGGTGAATATCACGTGATCTGCTTAAACTGCTGGCTGGACACAGACCCAATGACAATATTTAACTAGATTTGACGGGGTAACTTATGAAATGGGCTAGTATGTAAAAACGTACTTGTGGCACCATACATCGACTTTCCACATGCTGAGGCGGTCGGTTCAAGTACTGGAAATGATGAACGTAGCAAAACCATACCATGTGTTCGTTCGGCATCATAGCCAATAGGCTTATTTCTGTTGCTTCTTTACAATTCTTCTGTAAATATTAAAAAACCAGGAATGTGGGTTATAGCTCATGCCTACAGCTTGGAACTAGCTTTCAGCTAGAAACACACAACAGAACTAGACCGTTATATTGCTGTCATTTTGAGACTTTTCAGCAATTGAGATCAAATACAATCAGATTAGAAAACATGCGACGTATCGGAGAAAGGAGGAGAACTATTCGCCTCAAAGTCGTCTGATAGGAAACACCGACTAAACAGTTACAGGCTGTTTGACAAGAAACTAAACGTCCTATATGCATATAACTTTTAAAAACTGAACCTCCTCACAGGTTTTCTTGAACTTTTATGGATATTATTTCTATTCGCCTCAAAGTCGTCTGATAGGAAACACCGACTAAACAGTTACAGGCTGTTTGACAAGAAACTAAACGTCCTATATGCATATAACTTTTAAAAACTGAACCTCCTCACAGGTTTTCTTGAACTTTTATGGATATTATTTGACTATTACATAAGAACGAACAAACATTGAAAAGCAGTTCCACAAGTTCCATAATAAACCTTACCCTCCACTAGAGGCCGTGTGCAGCTTCGACACGACCACTGACTACTCGCAGGGCTCATCAGCAGTTGACGCCGTAGAAGCTCAGGAGAAATCAAATACAAGTCAACGTTATGAGTGGCGTGCAGACGCTTGAGCCTCCTCCCCACTTTCAACATGCCTGAAATATCTGAAACTGACGACGTGAGACTATTCGTATAACTGGATTACCGCACCTGAGACTCCTGCCTATTCGTTTTGAAATTTAGCAGATACATTTCCAAATGGGTGCGAGGACTATCCAACAACAAAAAAGGATAAATAACGCGAAGAAAATGAGGCGATTGAAAAATGCGAAATGCTTTGGATGGGATGCAAATACTTAAAGTCATTTTGAAAATCCTTAACTGTTGGAAAGGCCTTGTAATTTGGAGTTTATTCAAAAATCGTACTTGCGGAATGATTTTTGCGGCAAAATTAAAATGCGGGTTGGGTTTTGTGCGTTTTATATATGTACGTCAAATGGTCGCCCCATCATGAGGCGACCGACGCGCTTTCAAAATAGACTTCACAATACTGACCAACGTACCGGATCGCGGCAGGCAATATTCGGTTTTGTGGGTTGTGGTAGCGTAAAACTATCCATCAAGAAGAATGATGTCATGTCCAACTTGAGAATAGTTGCTCTAGAATAAAATAAACAAAAACACCAGTTGGAACTTAGTATAGCACACACGAAATAATTAACGTACTATTGGTGTTTAGTTAATCAGTTCCACATGGGATTAAACATCTCAACATGATTAAATCGTAAATCCTGGGTGACCTATCATCTGAAGCAGAGGAAAAATGCAAACGAGATAGAATGCAAATGAGATGAAGATCAAAACAGACGTTTTTTCTCAAACGACAGAAAATGGTAGTATTATTGACTGGTTGTTTCACAAAGCTCTGAAAACTTTTTCGAGACTGTTAATCACCGCAAGTGACAACGGCCTTTGATATTAAGAGCGATTAGGTGTGTTCAAAGAAGTGTGAGATACAAAGTGTATGCACTGACATAAGGCTGACCCTCCTATCGAAAGTGTTGACTTTCGTGTCACTCTTATATGCAGGGCTCAAAATCCAAAACACTGCGAAATATTGCAGCATAATTTTGATGAGCATTACCTTATGAGTCTTGGGTGTCGCTTCCTTTAATTGTTAGAGAAAAGTCATCCAGCGCGCATCCTATCTCCTCGCGTCCGAGTTGATTCAGAACCTACTCCTAATAAGCCGCTCGAAATTCGTCTCAGTTAAGCTTTTTCCCCAAAAAACACAAATAAGAGTGCTTTAAGCGCAACGCTCTTAACATATTACTTCCTTTATTTGAGACTGAGAGATTGTAGCTTTTCGATGAAGGACGGAAATGTTTTTCTTTGGGATCTACAGAAAATATCACCTTAAACCTGCTACCTTTTGGAGCAAATCTCCCCAAGAAATGGTTGGTAAGTGGATGGTAATCAGAATAGTAGAAGTTGTGTACATTTTCTCCGCACTATATACTGCAACTCGAATGAATTACAGTAGACTGTACTACTGCGCAATACGCGCTGAGAGATTACCGGAGCTCATGTTTTGCGCTTAGTAAAGGGATAAACCAATGAAACACCTGGATCTCCTAACATCATTACTGCGACAAATGTTGCAGTAAGCAGTCTAGGTCCTGCATAATAAGGTTGAACTCGGACAAGCAATAATATACTGAACAAATAGAAGGGCCCATTAAATGATACTCAAGATGAATTTGTCTTTCCCTCATCATACGCTCCTAGCTGAGGTTGTTTGCTAAACTGGACTCGTTGAAAGCGTGAAAGGCACGGGCGAAACTGCAAAATGTATCTACAAATAATGCTTTCAAAACAGCTTTTGCGATGATTTATTACAAACATGTTCCGGTCTCAGGTTAGTGGAAATTTGGTTCCGCAAAATCTTAAGAGAAAAGTCTCCTTCGACCCAAACCTTGTCGTTACGGTAAAATGTACTAACTGTTTCTTCTCTTATTACAGGCCAAATGACTGGACGCTTTGATAACAATGGTGTTATTTATGCAAAGTTTACATAAAGCTGCCATCGCTTCTTCGGACGCATAATGATTAGCTTGCAGGAGTCTTCTTTATATTTTAGAAAGCTAACACTTAGTTGAGTGAAGCTTTACTTAGTACAAAAAGAGACATCTGTGTTCAGCAAATGCTCATGTGAGTACTATATCAGACGGTGCTTGTGGGTTTCCTCTTTTCTGTGACGCACTGAGGTATGCTATTGCACGGACAGCGATGGATCATCGGAATGGTTGCAAGTTACTTGGCATTTGTGGGAACGGACATGTCACACATTTGCAAATAGTAGTATGCAAGTAGACGGGCAAGTTTATCCGCTCAGCGAACAAGCCAACGACCATCTAGGCTGCCTGAGTTATTGAAATTTTCCTCTATAGAAAAGAAGATCAAATATCGACCGGCCAATACTCCTCTACAAATTTGGAGATTTTGCCGTCACAAACTTTATGCTGTTCAGTTTGTACGTAATTCGGAAATGATATGTGTTCGGACACGAGGACATCACATTGTACCAAGGATGAAGTATTCCACGGTAAAATAGCTGAATTTGTATTACACCGGCCTTAACAATTATACTGTGTTGTATACGGTTTTGCCAACTTTATCCTTCACCAACTTCCAGGTTATGCACAGATTCAGACGATGTATGTGAGGTCCCCTTTAAAGGTACCCATTCAGCAAGCACCCACAGGTAGTAGGAAAATCTGTTTATCCAAATTGTGGCTAAAATTAAGTCTTGAAATTTTCGCCACCATGTTCGTCTAATTTGCATAAACCGATTTTGCACCCCGAATTTCGAGTACTAAAGCTCGAAGATATTGGTCATCGCCATCCTTAAAAACAAAGTATTTTCGGTAAAAGGGCAGTTCATTTGACCGTATAAATAATCGTGTACTTTATGCACAGTAAGATACTTTCATCTTCGACACCTTCAACGCAAATACTGACAAAATATTCCCCCGGTTTTATTATACCAGAAGGTCCACATGATTTCACTGGGTTAGAGAGGGTAAAATAACCGGCCAAAATTTTTCTGTTTTATTTGCTATTCGTTTTGTTGTGTTTTTCGTTTCTGGTAACTCATTTTTGGAAATCCAAATGGGCTTTAATCCACGGAACTAACTATGCCATCATTAAACCGAATGTATGTTTTTATGTAATCGTCTGAGTTAATAAGGTGCCCTTTTCCCATAATTAATCACTTCATACAAATATTGCACATTCACTGTGACATCTCTTACTTTCCCACTGCCAAGTATTAGCTTCCGTCCAATTCAACGATGCTCCCGGAACTTTCATGCCGGTCCACAATTTCGTTCATATAAGGTGGTCCAAAAAATGTCTAACGAAAAAGACCAGAGTACATGTTCACTTTGTCCTACATTTGTGGCCATACTAATTTGGTAGGTTTTCCTGATATCCATCAGTGAGGATCTGTCTGGAAAAGTGTCTGACCTTCTCAGACGAAAACCGCTGTAGGTAGTGAACTCTGATCGTACTGATGGTAAATAAATCATCCGCAGACTGTCGGTACTAGGAATATAAGCAGATCAGCAAGCTAGACTAACAAGACCGGATACATCTTAGAGATTTTGAAATTGGAAAAAAGCTCATACACTTGTTAGGTTTCCAAATTATTGGAACAGTTCTTTGGTCATACCTTTTGGAAGAACAATAAATATATATGAGAATTCCTGGTCTTACAACATCTTTTCTTGCTAGCAAATTGTGGGAATTTCTAGAAGGAACCACGCCTGGTACCATTTTACTCGATACTTAATTCTGCGTAGTGTTAAACCAAAGCCATTTCCATAAATAAAGCCATAAGTCTAAATGGGCAGGAAAACTCCATTTCTGATAACCTTTCAAAACCAAAGTATCATTTGAGAACTTTACTGTGTTTATAGTACGATCATCCAGTCACCCCACGTGACTCTCATCCCTGAAAGAGCGATTCAGTTTATATGATCTCCTTATCCTAAGAGTAAGTGTTTTACCCGATGTGTATTGTCAACTATTTTTTCCAGCGACCAACAACCGGTGCTTTTAAAATCCTTCAGTTTATTTGTTCAGTGTTACTTAGGCACTGGTTCTTAGTCGTTTCCGGCTGATCAAAAAAAGCATCCTGAAGTAGTCATCAGTGAAATCTTTCTTCCACAAAAGACCAAAAAATAATTGGATCGTTTCAAATGCGACTCGACATGTTTTCTATATGAGGAAATTGGCCTGCTTTGTTATATCTAGCATGCAAATTCAGACCTAGTTCAAAAAACAAGTTCTCAACTGCTAAAACAGTGGACGTTTTTCGAGGACAAAATCTTTTGAAGCAGATGCAGGCTTTTTCCCCTCGATTGGCCAATGATTCCGTTCCACCGGAGCAGATAAATCACAATGAAAGAGGAAACTGCAAAGCTGTCTCGCAACAACGTTTCCCTTTGAATGTTTCTTACAAAAGAAGAACGCTGACTCATCCATGAAACAGGAGCTATTCTCATTTTTGTATTATCTTTCCGAATATCAACAAGTTGAGATGTTTTCTCAGACAAATAACAAATGGATCTGCTAATCAGTAAACCAACGCACCTTACTAATACGAAATGATTGTTATATGCGTAACAGGAAGGTTAGTATCAGGTTCTTAGATCGGCCGACCTTGCCCAGAAAAATTATTTTATTCAATTTTTGAATTAATTTTATTACCATAGTATTAGACTTTCCACTTCAGCCCAGGCTAGGCGTAATTGGGCAGTTCACCGCAAATTTCGTGTTTCAGGCCATCTGTGGGATTATATACAGAATTATACAGCAGAGAATGCAGTTATTGAAAAGAATGGGCACTATGAATGAGCACTATTCATGGACTGGGAAATATCGAGTTGTCAAACTCGCAAACGTGAATTCCACTTACGTGTTTCCCACAACAAATATTGCAAGCTGCTTCGGAAGGAAGACAAATTGTGTGTAGTTGCTGATTCGTGCATCGTAGAAAGTTGCACCCACGTTGTTCTGTAACAGATCTGGAAAAAATACGTCTTCCAGTTGAGCCTGCGAAATTTACTTGACCAAAAAATGGGACAAAGCTTTGTCGCAAAAGCTCAGTACTCATGTGAACGCACACGCATTAACGAAAAAGAGTTGAAATCAATGTGATATAAATAGGAACCCACCAAGAGTGCTTCACGTTTGACAACTTTCTACTCGTCGTCGAGTTTTGTTGCATTAAAGATCCAGGGAATAGGTTTTCTCGAGAGTATATTGCTTTACAGAGATACATTGACTTCTTTTTTATTACTTTAATGTTACTGAACCATGCCGTAGACTCATTTGCGTTTCATCTTCGAACCAAATTGTGATCAAATTAGTTGATCCACCAAGCAGGTCACCATAAAAACATCCAGGCAAGGCTGATAAATGTCTAGTACTTTACCGCACAATAAAGGCTGAATAAGCCGATACAGACACTGTAATGTTGCGGGGTTCCGTTAATACCAGGTGAAAAAAGGCATCTTGAATATTAGGCCAACCAAATTTTCCAGCAGCCTAATCCTGCTAATTAGGTTATAGAACATGGAAATATTTGACAATGCAAGACATTTGAATGCCTTGCTACATCTGGTCAGTTTGCAAATGAGTAGCGATTGTTCTGCATTATTTGATAGAATCCTTGACCAGTTATTCTGGGGTTATAACAAACATTTTATTTAAAAATGAATTAGTTCAAGCTAAGGTAGACGCTACCAAAGAGGAACCAGTATAAACAAAGTTAGACTGATGATTACCGTGTCAAAGAAACTACACATTGAGTAATATGCTTTATTCTGCTTCGAAAACACATAAGCTCAGGAATAACAAGGCTGCTAGTTGGGAATAATGAAACGGATAGCATAAGAAAGGAATGGAAAGAAGCCTCCTGTTAACTAGAAGATCAGATAAATTTTTAGAACATGGAAATATTTGACAATGCAAGACATTTGAATGCCTTGCTACATCTGGTCAGTTTGCAAATGAGTAGCGATTGTTCTGCATTATTTGATAGAATCCTTGACCAGTTATTCTGGGGTTATAACAAACATTTTATTTAAAAATGAATTAGTTCAAGCTAAGGTAGACGCTACCAAAGAGGAACCAGTATAAACAAAGTTAGACTGATGATTACCGTGTCAAAGAAACTACACATTGAGTAATATGCTTTATTCTGCTTCGAAAACACATAAGCTCAGGAATAACAAGGCTGCTAGTTGGGAATAATGAAACGGATAGCATAAGAAAGGAATGGAAAGAAGCCTCCTGTTAACTAGAAGATCAGATAAATTTTCTCACCGTTATGGTGGTATATGAGGTGTGAACTTTAATCATTTAGTTTTAATTAGCCAAAAAGTAAGTACACGATTTCCTAACCGAACCAGCTATTCTAGCACAGGCGATGCTTTCATGGTTGATTTAAAGACACTAATTACTCATTTATCGCAGGGCCTAAACCCCTTAAAGCAATATAGGTCCAAGTACAACGTGATTTCCATGGAAACTCGGAGGCTAAGCCTACATGTTGAGACCCAAAGAAGACTGTCGGACGGTTTTCGGGAGACTTAAAACTAGTGTGTTACCTCTAGACAATACGCATTTCGTTATCACTAACCAGAACTGCGTGTTCATTTCCTAATCTGCCGAAAGCAACTAGGTCCGCAGTGGAGATATTTCAGTCCAGAAAACCTCATCAAAACAGGCCGACGGATACATATTGCGTTATTAGTTGGCGTTTCCTTGCTACGCCGTTTTTTCTCGCGAAATTCCGTGGGAGTTCAAGGAATAATCTGAAGCCATTAGTCCGTAAGCCTGTGAAGAAAATGTTGGTATCCTTATGGATGCTAGTGGGGTAAGGTGTCCATGAGACGTCATGTGTGAATTTTCGACTGCTATACACTTTCATTCACACCAGTCCGGGTGATAAAAATGCCATCGAAGATGAACGGATTGCGTCTTGCAAGCCTGATCTCCAATTAACCCAAAAATAGATAAATACTAGGGGATAGTGTCTGAATAAGGTCATTTTATGTTTGTTTCTTGCATCCTGACGACATTAATGATAGTACTTGTTTAGCTGTTTGGCTTTGTTACTGATGAATTAAGAGTAAAGTAAAGATAAACTATTTTGTTTGTCACCAGTTTCAGACTACAATAAAAAGCGTATTGTTCCCATGCATTTTTAATGACCCTATTGTAGATATGTCCACCTGCTTTTGGCAGTTTAATATTCTGGTATTCAATAGCTGAAATTTGAATGATCATTTGTGATTTTATCACATCTGGTTGCTATTTTGTTTTGTCTTCCCTAAGAACTGCTAGTGTAACAAAATATTCGTGAAATTGTTTCGTATGTCTAAGTACTGAAATATCACATTTTTATTGTACCGTTTCGAAGCACGACTCTGGCAACAATCATCCGAATACAGAAGACCAAATATCACGTGGATTATTTATCGGCATTTTGTACACATTTTACTCTTAAAAATCATCATCCGAATACAGAAGACCGATTATCACGTGCATTATTTAGTGGCATTTTGTACACAAAGCCATATTTGCGTAAAGAAAACTACTAACAAGGTTGCTGAAAAGTCTTCGACAGCCCAAGAACGATTTCGTCCGTCAACCTTATGGTCTAGTCGAACCCAAATTGGACTGTTTTCGAGAAATACACTCATTTGGAACTCAATTTAGTTTTCACGGGAGACTCAGCTGAATCTCTGGTTTATGATTTTACAACTGAATCATGAGGCGGTCTGTGTGCAGCACATTCGTTTGTAGAATATCATAAACGAGAGATTCAGTTGCGTCTCGCTTGAAAATTGATTTGATTTACAAATGAGTGTACTTCTCGAAAGCCTTATTTGGTTTAGAACCGGTAAAAGGCTTACAGAGCGGCAATAATGTGAAATGGACTACACGCCAAACAAAACCTCATTTTTAGTCAGCAAAGAGAAACATCCATCGGCAATATTGGCGTAACATTTTGGAGCATTTTGCCACTTTGTGCTCGGTGCTACTTGTTGGTGCTGCCCAGTTCTAGTGAAACGAAAAAAAACGGACGAGAACGCATGTGACAATTGGAAGTCACATACTTCCAGACACAAACTTTCTGCAAACGGCAACAAAGACCTTGTATGCTTCTCTTCAGTCTAAAACTACTTGTTCCATTCATGTTGGGATAAATGGTTGAGAAATATCACATCACACTGTGTGGTTTGAAAAGTAATCACGGAGAAAAATCAAGAAACGGATCATAGGTGGTCCAGAGATTTGGACCAGATGTTTGTAGCCCAGGCTTAGGCAATTGGTTTTCGTTGGGCGAGAGTAAAAACGTTTTGTAGGCATATTCCATGGCTTCATTTTCATAAGACAATGATGTAAAACATGGCTGAAAAGACCTAGAAGTGGTGCTGAAAAAGAAAACGCTTTCATGCCTTTTTTCCTAAAAATCACATGCGTATGTTATCTGGTAGAAACAGATTGCAATCTCGAACATTGTGTGACGTTCGAACACAAGTTACCGAATGAGTCATTGTCAATCCATAACGCCTCAGTCCAGTTGACAGCTGTAATTTTCTTTGAGACATTTTTTGCTCATGCATCATTTTATGGTAACTAAACGTGCTAAAACGATATGTACGTTCGAACAACTACTGATATTTTGCTCTCAGTACCGTAAAACATGCATATTGGTTTGTCACCGCGAGCGGAAATAGACAGTATTTGTTGTAAACTGTAGGCGATTGTAGTAAAAGTCACAATGTCGCGCTTTTTCACAGAGTGTTTGATCACTGAGTGCATAGAACTTATAAGCCTGCGAGTTAAAATTCACAGTCCACTTTATCTATGCGTCTTTAAGTGAAACGATTGGTGTCGTGACAGATGCACTTGTAATTGGGAATAATCGAGATTGCGGTGTTATTAGTCATCACAATAAACTACTGATCAATACTGTTTTAGCAGTCAGGCCTGTCCACTATCTCATCTACCGAAAGTTTGCATTAGTTGCGCGGTATCTTTAGGCCTTAAAGTCACTTGATCACCCCATACCGTAATGGTGATTCCCCGTTTCCTAATTCATAGATTTTCATTCTTTGAAACCTACCATAACTTTGTCAGTGGGTACAGATATCAGTGCCTTTTGCGCCCACGTGATGAGATCATAGTAGGTTGTTCATTAATTGACAAGTTTGTTGATTTTAGTAACCATTTACCTTGATGCACATCTTGGAGATTAATCGTTCACAAAATGTAACGAATGAAGATAATAAGGTGTATGTCGAAGTCAATCGTTTTGACTCCGGCACTGCCTACCGCTTAGGGAAGGTGCGTAGCCGTGATTGATGCATTCCAGAGCTGCCATAAGTCACGTGATTCTAACGAGTACAATGAATTTAGGCAGCTGAGTTGAGCAAAAAGATAACGAAGCAAACGGCAAAATTTTTCCCAACTACAGTGCACCTAGGTTAGAGGTTCCTGATTCTCCAACATAGTCCTAGATCCATAAAGGTCTGTGCGTTTTGACTCCGGCACTGCCTACCGCTTAGAGAAGGTGCGTAGTCGTGATTGATGCATTCCGGAGCTGCCACAAATTACGTGATTTCAACGAGTTCAATGAATTCAGGCAGCTAAGTTAAGCAAAAAAGATAACAAAGCAAACGGGATTGATTGTTAAACGACAAAATGTTTCCCAACTACTGTGCATCTAGGTTTTGATTCCTGATTCTCCAACATAGTCTTAGATCGATAAAGGTCTGTGTGATCAGTGCACAATACAGGCTCAAACTATTGTGATCCGTGATGAGCATATTTATACGTCCCACCGAAACCAAAGGAATGAAACAACAAATTTGGATACAATGCATAGGATTACATTCCATGAAAAGGTTCCAACCAATTAGACCCAGAGAAGATGGCATAAGCACTTGAAAAATATTTGATATGGACCCAAGAACCCAATGTAAACGAACGCAAGGGGTTTGGAATACGC